CATGCCTACATACCTACGTTATATGAATCATATTGAACGGAAGGCTGACCCTAAAACACAAGGACCAGCTAATGCTGAGACCTCCGTAACGTTCAAGCTTGACAATCTCCAACAAACTCTCATTAATAAACATTCTTCTGTGCATTCATCAGCTATATAAGGAAAATACTTACTGGTGCAATAGTGGACTCAGAAACTGCCCCTATAAGTCCAACATTAGCAAGTTTTCTGCTTATGAAAGTGTATCTCAACCGCTCATTTGAATCCTTGCCCATTCTTCTGATTCCGCTACGAATACCTATATATTCAATCATGGAAAAGAAATGGTTTCAATTAAATTGCACACACCTAAGAAAAGCATTACATCGCTAAATCCGCATGCGATTCGGGTTACCCAAACAAGTAGGAATGCTCCCAGGTCATTCAAAATCAGAAGCATTATTGGAATACCAATCATTGAGTATATTATTGTTGCTACTTGGCCTGCCGTAGTGACACATGCGATGTTACCGTAACCTTAATGAACATTGATGAAGAAATTCCTTAATGTGATTTACTCTCCGATCAACGCACAAACATTATTTTACATGTACACTACCTATTGTTGTATAAATAGTTCCTGCATAAAGAAATGCCATCCAGAATGTCCACGCGCTATCTCTAACAGGTTCTTCTAACCCGAGGTCATTTTCAAAATTAAGAATAGCGTCTTTCCAACGTTCTTCTCTGTCTTCCTTGTTACTCTGATGAATAGCTCGCAAACTGAATCAATGTGCAAGTCACTCAAGCTTTCAGATCCTTGAGAAAGTGATCATCTTACTTGAGAATCATTACGTCCCTGGCTATAAGGCGGGCATGATATGCTTCTTCCTTGGCGGCAAGATCAGTGGGTACCTGTCAAAGTGCGTTAAACTGAATTTTAATGAAGTGGAAAAAAATTGAATTTCGCCTGTAAATGTCAAGGCATAATCAGACCTCGAGCGTCATAAAAAGCCAGGCACCGAAAACTGAATAACAGGCAATCACAAAGAGAAGCTTGAACTTCAAAAGAGTTAACCGTAACGATTTCGTTATTAGATTGAGACATCGACTGCTGAAATTGACAGTTGTATTAGATGTCTAGAGAAACAATATGCCAAAAGAAGCGGTGATTTAGTTCTGTTCTAAACAGTTAGGTTCAGCATCTCTAGTATGTTACTCTCGTCGTGTTTTCAAAAGTAAAGGCAACGTTAGACTCAGCTCGTCTAGAAGAATCCTCTAGTATATCACACTACGGTAACATCTGAGGTACACGATAGGCATACGG